GAGCTGTGTCCAGGTGTGTCAGCAACAGGGGCTGGGAGACAAGGCAGCTGGCGAAGGGGACCACCTGCTTCTCAGGGTGCAGGAGGCAGCCCCTCACCACTGACCCTGAGGCTGCAGGAAGACACTCCCTCTTACTAAACGAACCACCCGAAATCTGACTCCTCCCAACCCCAAAGCTATCACAATGAGGCCTGGAGCACATCCTACTATCAGTTATTTAAAATGAAAACTCTCTTACTGGTCTGCATCTGTCAAAACAAAATGTTCACACCTGCTGGAACAGAAACTGAAGTTAATCAACAAGGGCTGTGAAGTATGACTTGCGTAGAAAGACTTGGCAAATCAGGTGGGAAGACGCCGGCTTCCCCCAACCCACCACACACACCCACTCACACACACACAGAACCCCTCTTCCAACTGGGAATCCCTAAGGCCTGCACAAAGCCACTGGGTCCAGCACGCTTCAGGGAAGGGGAGAGCGATGTCCATCTTCTTCAGGCGCGCGGGTGCCGAGAAGGGCCCCAGGGCAGCACCAGCCTGCACTGCGCTGGCTCAGGAAGAGCAAAGTGGGGCCTAGGAGAGGTGACCAAGAGCCACCAAATGGTTCCAATTCAAACAAACAAGGACCAGGTTCCATGAAATCTTTTTATTGATTTAGGAGGAGAAGGCAGTACATTCGATTCAATACTGTATTTGACTCTGATTACAATTTCCATGAAAGCTACTATTACATACACACACGAAAACTGAAGAAATGCTTACCTGACAATATTTCAAGTCAGAATTTCTCAGCTAGTTTAAAAAGCAGTTAAAAGTGAATACAGACAGACACTATGGATTCAAACATTCTTCCCAGAAGAGCTTTCTAGTGTATAAAAACCTCAGAGAAAACAGCCCTTTCCAGCAGAGCAGCTACAGAGGGTGGCGCTTCCTCCTGCCCTGGACTTGGGGAGGACGCGGCCTGCGCACGTGTGTTTATGGACCGCGGTTACCCAACGGGCGCTTCAGACCAAGGCTCTGAGGCCTGGGGCTTCACGTGGAAATGATGGGGGTTGGGCATGGCTAACAGGCAGGCATTCTTGGCTGAGCTCCAGTCCTGTGAGGGCCTCACACAGAACCCTATGTAATGAGCTTCCAACCCAACTCATCTCCCTTCCGTGAAGAAGGCCCCAAGACAGGCCGAGACTGCGACCCCAGTCCCCACGGGGGGCCCTGTTGGTAGAGTGGGGTGAACATCTCAGTGGAGAAGGCCACCTGGACCAGCACACCCAGACCTCCCAGGTACCCCCTAGGGATGCTGAGTTACGGAGGGTGCCACTGTGGGGCAAAGTAAGACAACCCAGCGTTTTGGGGGCAAATCATGAAGATATGCAAGGACAAATGTCCTCAGGGAGATCCAGCTACTGCTATGAACTGCATAGCTCCTGAGGATGTGGTGGGGGCAGCTCCACTCTCACTGCCTGCCTGACAGGGGCCAACTGCTGACCAAGCGGGTGACTTGGTTTCCCCGAGGGCACAGCTGGGCACCTTGAGGTCTTCACTTGCTTCAGCATGAAAAGGAAGCACTGAGGGGCTGGGACTGGACACCGTGCTGTTAAAACCCACTGGACCCCCATGTTTGGGAGGCAGGGACACCTGCAATTGCGTGGTATAAACTGAGGCACACAGGTAAGTTGCTCACTCTTCTGTGTGAATCTTTACACCCAATGGGACTTTCTCCTTAACACCCCCAGGGGATGGACTCCGTCCGCTCCCACGTCAGTGCCCCGATGCGGCGCGCAGCTCAGGGCTGGAGTGCCCGGTCTCCTTCAGGCCTGCACTGCATGCGCTGCACGCGGCACGGAGAATTGAGGCTGACGGCCCTGGCCAGGAGAGCAAGGTCTGGAACGGAGCCGGGCCCCCAGGCCCTCGCCCAGCACTTCCGGGGCGTGACTCCAGGCCGTGCAGCACAGCTCACCCCGACCGTGGCTCTGTGGAATCACCACCAGCGCCCTCAGGTGTGGCCTGTGCTGCACAAAAGCTTCTGGGCAGAGACTAACTCTGTGAGGACAGGGTCCGCTGAGACAGAGGGAACGTGCCAGCACTTAACCTTACACACACACCACACGTGCACGCGCACGCGCACACACACACAAGCGCGCGCCACAAAGCCAGGACATACATGTACATATTTATATCTATAAAACGCCAAGTCAAGTAATCAATATGAGAAGCAGGCCAAGTAGCCAATGGCCTGGCCCAGGGTCAAGGCTGTTTAGTGGCCATGGAAGTGTGTGAGATTTCACGTCCACATATTCATGTCAACAGGGGTGTTAGGAGACTTTAAAATTATACTGAAGTCTTAAGTTAAAACATTTCTGCAGTGTATGGAAGTTCCAGTCACTGCTGCTTTCCTAGGACCCCCCGTCCTGGGTTACTTTACCCCAACGTCTCTGCACTTGATCATGGGTCACAGTCCCCAGGGCCTTTGTGCATCCCTGTGAGGCAGTGTCACGGACTGAGTGCCTTGGTGGGCAAGTGTCACGTCCCCCCGAGCTGGTGGCTGACAGTGTGGGTGACTGGCGCCACTGCACTCAGCAGACAAGGTGAGTGCCCCAGCCCAGCCCTCTTGTCCCAGTGCCCATCCAGGAGGTGCCAGCAGACCGGTCCTCTCCCTCTGCCCGGTGCTGCACCTGCACAGCCAGCCCTCGCTCTGGGGAAAATGGGGCGCCACTCCTTGGGTGGCCTCCCTGGGCCCTGCCAATGCCCACAGTGGGGATCCCCTCCGAGGCGCTGCTGCACCTGTGCCCGGCATGCGCTGGGACTCACTCAACACTCCTACCACCTGTGCTCACCTGACAGCTCCAGGTCTGGGGATGGAGCAGGGAGAGCAGCTCAGGAAAGGATGAAATATCACTTCAGTTGTTTTAAGAAGGGGAGGCTTGGTATCTACGAACACGTGCTCTTTCCACCCCGGGAGAGGTGCTGAGGGCGGCATATCTGCAGCGCAAGGCTCCCGCGCTCACACTGACTCCACACGCATGCCGTCGCACTTGTGACTGACCAGTGGGTCTTCACAGGTGCCGGAGGTCAGCTTCTCGGTCTTCACCTCCAGGAGAGCTGGGTTTTTTCTCTCCCTGCTCATGTGGGAGCTGGCCAGGGCTCTTCACAAGTGTCACCAAGAGCCTCTACCAGGGTCCTTTCTGCCACCCGTTAGATGGCATCTCTCTACCCATCTGGCACCAAAATAATTTAATGTGCCATGCCAGCAAATATTTAACCCTGAAACGATTGATACCAAACAATACCTTTATGGACATACAATTCCACAACACAGGCATAAGCCGAGGCCACGCCGTGTGAAGAATGGACTCCTGTAGGAACGTGGGCTGTGCCCCAGGATGTGGAGTGGGCCCAACAGGACCCCAGCTCACAAGGGCTGAGGGTGGGAGCACCCTGCACACTGTGGCAGAAACAGAGGCCGAAGCCTGGTGACAGGGCAGAGGGCACTGAAGCCCAGGGTCTAGACAGCACCTGCCTTTGTGACAAAGCACTTAAGAAGGACACTGATCCATACACCCACGTTTAGGTAACACCAATCCTCTGGGGACCGCATGGCCACAGAGACACCTGAGTCGGCCTCTGACATGAATCCCCTAACTGAAGTCACATCAGCCTCTTTGAAGGAGCTACGAGAGAACTGGTCACTACCAGAGCATGTGGCCCCTGGAATCACCCTCAACCCTTGACAAGTAAGATGTATTTTGGGCTATTCACAAATAATTGTTTAAATATAGTACTTTCCAAGGAATGTGCAAACACAAAGCAGCCTGCCAAAGATGAACGAACCTATTAGAATTTGAGCCGCGGATTAAAGTAATTCTTTCTAGAAATAGTTTTCTATGTCGCTATGGTTAGATCTCCTGGAAATCCATCCCTGTTAGAGAAGTGGCCTGTGACGGAGCCACTTCCTGGTGTGTGCTGGCTCCCGAGTCCATTTAGAGGGAACAACAGGACCGCTGGGATGTCACCTCCCTTTCCAGCGGACCCTTGGGCACTGAGTCTTCTCTGATCTGAGGCCAGGATGAGCTGGCTGCAAGCTGTGGGTTTTTCCCTCTCTAAAAAACTCTTCTAAGATCATTGATGCTACAAATAGGGGTTCTTTCCGTGCCGCGGTCCTATGCCCTAAAAGATGAATTCTATTGCTAATGGCTGTGTCTGTGCTCCTAACTGCTGTTCCTGGAGAGCCCTGGGCTGGTCAAGACTCAGCAGGGCATGTCAGTGGGAGGAGGGGTGCAGGTGCCAGGTAGGCCTCACCTCCACCCAGAAAGCCGGCGCTTACCTGGTCCCTCAAAGGGCAAGAGTTTGGATGGAACAGGGTCCTGGGCGCTCAGCGGGATCAGATACAGGTCCTTGACGTGCCTGCTGTTATTAGCTACAACGCCAAAGCGGCCGCGGCTGCTAAAATAGGAGTACAGAGAGATATAGGCGACCTCCTCCTCCTCTGTGGCGGGGTGGAAGCGGATCAGACAGAGCTCCTGCAGCGGGACAGAGAGTGGGAAGCACTCAGTCAGCAGACGCAGGCGTCACCTGCCCGATTCACCTTTTCAAATCTCTCCTACTCACAGCCACGATCTCAGAGGTCCTGTATCAGTGAGGCAATTCGTGTGACATGTGAGCCCAGCAGTGTCTGGAGCGGAGCCAGCTTTTACTACCTGCATGGTGGCCCCGGTCAGGAGGAACCAGCTGTGTGATGTGCAATGGCTGTCTGTTGACCTCTCCAGAGGGTTCAACTAGACGACAGGGTCTAGCCCTTTCGTGAACACGACAAAAACCAAACCACATACAGACATGCACAGCTGTAGGTATATCTCAGGGGGTCCCAGAAAACCAAAACCGTTCAGGAGCGCAGGCTGAGTGCCCTGAGCCTGATCACCCCCGCAAAAGATACCTCTGCTCCTTCAATCATAAAAAAAAATAAGAAAATAAAGCTTATATATTTCTTTTCTTAAAAAACAACTCAGGGGACAGTGCGAACGTCGTCCCTCACTACCACAAATTATGCAGTCAAGTTTCTCGCATTTGAGGAAATGGAAGGGGTCAGCACATCCGATGTGTAACGGATAAGCCTTGCCCTGGGAAAACCACCTTCCTGATCACGGTATCTCCCCTGCCAGGTAAGTAGAACATTTCTTACTAAACTTTAACTGCACATACGTTATAATAAATCAGAAACAACTTTCTACCACTGTATTACTCAAACACCTTCACACAGTAATACAACTATATAAACTTAATTATTTTTATTTATTTTTTTTCTGAGACGGTCTTGCTCTGTCTCCCAGGCTGGAGTGCAGTGGTGTAATCTTGGCTCACTGCAAAACTTAATTTTTAACATTCACCTGGAAGTATCTACTAAGTTATAGGCTAACATTTTAAGTGTTAACCCATCAAAATGAGAGGTTAAAAAAAGATGTGTTTAAACACTACCTTCCATGGTTATAGAATGTATACTGCAAGCGGATACCTTAGACACGGAAGACTTGAGTTTGCCAACATAATCCCAAACTGTCTTCGGTGCGATCCTCCCACCAATGTGAATTGTGTCAGGCAAATCCTAAACAAAAAGGACTTTGAGTAAATAACTGGTGAAACCGTAGTAGTCACAAATAGATTAATGCAGTCACTTTAAGGCACTGTACTGTCCAAGGTTCAAGAAGACCACAACAATTCCAAGGATAACAGTCATACTTGTACTAAATGCCATATTAAGTCCAGGGTCACGAGCTACAAAATCCAAGGGGAGTATGATGCCAACGTTCTGCCACACAAGGCTGTGTTTAGAGATGGCTGGGCAACACTTCTGTTACCTTTTCTGTACATACACCAAGAGTAGCGATTTGTACATGAGCCCGGGTGACTCCCTGCATGAAGATCATAAATGCTAGTGCTGTTTTTTGGTTAATTTTGAAAACTAAAAGGCCTGCCAGAGGGTCATATGTGCCACCCCACATGTGGCCAGGTGTGTGTAAAGCAGGCTCTGAACACCGGGCTATGCTGGGGCTGTGTGCACAGCCACATGGTCAGCACCCCGGCGAAACCCATCACTGAGATGCTGGACTGCAGGCTCGCGTTTCTGACCCTGTCCCAGCTGCTGACTCATCACAGCAATCGCCACTTTGCATTTAGAGGTGCTTCTATATCCAGACAGTCAGTTGCAAGGGTGTCATACATTTTTCTTTCTTTCCTACCCCGTGAATTAAGGGAGAAAGTCATGTGTTTGTAGTATAGAAACTCCTATGAAAGACATACATGCACACACATGCACGCGCACGCACACACACACACACACACACACACACACACACGTTTTCTTGTTTCTAACCTCACTGAGGTAGTCAAAACACCCGGAGACGGGATACGCCTTAGTGACAAATTTTGCCACACTCTGCATGTTAATAAATCCTTTCCAGATGGTGCTGAGTCGAGACAGAAAGAGGGTTGTGTCTCCCTCTGGAGGGGACCGTGATTCTAATGTGCTGTAAAACAAAACGATAAAAATAAAAGTTAATGTCTCTCCGTGCAATGAGAATTTCAAAACCATAAAGGCTTTTTTTTGAGACAGAACCTCATTCTGTCGCACAGGCTGGAGTGCAATGGTGCAACACGGCGGGCTGCAGTCTCCACCTCCTGGGCTCCGGTGACCTCCCACCTCAGCCTTTCAAGTAGCTGGGACTATAGGCGCGCACTATAGCCAGGCGTGGGCCTGGCTAAATTTTTGTATTTTTCACCGTGTTGCTCAGGCTGGTTTCAAACTCTTGGGCTCAGGGAAATCTCCCACCTCTGCCCCTCAAAGTACTGGGATTACAGGTAGGAGCTACTGTGCCCAGCCTCAAGAGGACAAAGACTTTGTATCTAAAATCGAAAGAGAACTCTTTCAAGTTTTACATTTTGGCATAATTAATTATAATAATATAGGTATCTTGATTAAAGAAAAATACAATGAATAGACAAGAAACTGGATGAGCATAAATTTAAATCTAAACTTCTAAGACCTTTACTTCCAAAATGACAAAAGAGCACCCTAAAACTGGGGCTTTCTGAAAGATGAAAGAGTGAAGTTGTATTTCAGGTGAAATTTCAGAGTTCAGCTATTAAATCACCAGACTTTCCTTCTGTTCATCTAAAAACAAGTTTGGCTTGTTCAGACCACACCTGAAGTACGTACCTGGTATTTGGTGATGGAGGAACTGACAAGTATCTTGGGTCAGGGGATGAAGACGGCTTAGCCAGTATGGACTTGGGCATCATCACAGAAGTCATGGCAGGCTTCGGCACATCTTGTCTGGTTTCCACCACGTGGGTGCTGTCCGGGCGGGCCACGGCTGTGCAGGAGCTGCTTGGAGCGGTCCTGGGATCCCGGCCGGACACTGTGACAGTGGTGACCACCCCGCTCCCACAGGAGGCTGGGCAGGGGGACAGGTCTTCTGGCGGGGAGGGCTCAGGATGGCCATCTCCTGGAGGCCCAGGGAAATAGGTTCTGTCCACGTTTGGATGAGAAGCACTTTCCAGGCCTGGCTCAGGGGCAACTTCAGGCAGCGCCTCCGGTATCACCTCATCCGCTGAATCAGGAACTGGGTCAGGCACAGAACTCTCATGCTTGGGTTTTAAGTCTTCTTTCTTAACAGGAGCTGACAATTTTGGTTTTTTTGGAGCTGGCTCGTCTTCTGCGGAGGGAACCTGGCCTGAAGAAGGCGAGGAAAGGCTCTGTGAGAAACCCAGCCAGCCGAGTGCTTCTCACAAAAAGCTGAAAGCAACACTGAAGGCAGGGCAGGGAATTGTTCCGGCCTTTCTGTGTGTCTGAGCTTGTTAGGTGCAGTTGCTTTGAGAGGGACGCAGATATTTTTAACAAAATCAAGTGCAGTCTCAGCTCCAGGGCTCCATCCCCCCGTTGTGCTCACCTGTACAGATCTTGCAGTTGAGGTCGAAGAGGTGTGCGCGGTGCTGGCTGGTGGTGTCTTTCAACATGCTGCTGAAGATGTCGAGGAGGGGCGCTGCGCTCCTCTCAGGGACAGCACGTGCTGACTCTTGCTGTTCCTAAAAGGAAAAGGAAAAAAATGAGGTCATCTATTTTCCAAACTCAGCTCCAGATTAACAACACACAAGAAGGCCGGGCGCGGTGGCTCACGCCTGTAATCCCAGCACTCTGGGAGGCTAAGATGGGCGGATCGCAAGGTCAAGAGATCAAGACCATCCTGGCCAACATGGTGAAACCTGGTCTCTACTAAAAAATACAAAATTTAGCTGGGCGTGGTGGCACGCGCCTGTAGTCCCAGCTACTCGGGAGGCTGAGAGGCAGGAGAATTGCCTGAACCCGGGAGGCGGAGGTTGCAGTGAGCCGAGATCACACCACTGCACTCCAGCCTGGCACCTGGTGACAAAGCGAGACTTGGTCTCAAAAAAAAAAAAAAAAAAAAACCCACACAAGCAAAGCGGGTTCTCTCAGGGACTGAGACCCATGGGGGAAGAACATAAGGCCTGAGGAATACCACAACGGCACACACCCGCTGCCAGCTCAGTGTCCCGCCCAAGCATTCAGATACCTGAACACATCTGGGATGAATGCGTCTGCTCTTGGTGAACACAGAAACCCCCAAGTGCTCACCTCGGAATCCGACACTGGCGGAGAGTCCTCCATGTCGGGGATGACCTCCTGCCTGGCGGCCACCTTCTTACTTTCACTGTGCACTTTAGTCCTGGGCTCCATCACCTGGAACGAGAAGGACAAACCAAGCTCAAGCGTTGTTTTCTAAGGAGGAAATCATCGCTCATGCAGACTATCTGTGAACCAATTTCTGCGGAACGCGCGTCCTCGGCGCCTCGCAGCCTGCTCACACTCACAGATCGTGCTGGCTTCTCTTTCCACGTGGAAAGCTCTTTAGATACAAGTTCTTCAGGCTTCATTCTCACAAGTTTCGCCAAAGAGATTTCCTCCCGCAGAACACGATGGAAAAGTCCCTGCAAACAAGTATTTTTCATTTGCTCAAATAATATTCGTGTATCTGTCAATACGGAGAGCTTATGGAAAACAGAGCTGCCCAGAAGCTCAGTGGGCACAGGACAAAGGCCCCCAGGGCCCACTTGCTATGGCACTGGGCAGAGCTCTGCAGGGTGTGACCTCTCTAACTCCCCAAATGACCTTGTGAGAGTGGGCCCCGGGCCATCCCTGCTGTGAGCAAATGCAGGCCCCGCGAGCACAGCTGCTAAAAGGTTCAACAGCAGTTTTCCCGGCCCGTTCTGCTAAAAAAGCAAAACACGCAACACCTCAGGAAAGACAATCGTGCATATGACACGGACATAGGTCAAAAAGACAGCGTCAGGCATGAAGGAAGGAAGGAACCAGTTCTGCTTGGAGGCTGTTCCATGGCGAGATGCAAAGCCAGAGGATTTCAATATCCTAAAACTCTAAACAGGGAAGAGTCTGGAGGCCATGGGGAACACCAGAAAGTTGTAAGGCCCGTGGCAAGAGGAGCCCATCAGGCAGGCGGCTGTCCCTCCCAGCTAGAGTTTCTGTCCTGAACCCCACTGGGCAGGTGCCTATCCCTCCCAGCCGGAGTTTCTGTCCTCGTGTGGGATGAGCACCGCCCCCCCCCCACCACTGCAGTGAGGACGGAGTGACCCCACCCTGAGTGTGAGCAGCCCGTTCCAAGTGCTGCGAACACTCAAAAGCAGCCCAAACCCTCAGGCTCACTCCGCTGATGAGGAATATGAGGAAATAGAGTGGAAAATGCTGTCTGAAGCCAGAATATGGACACCCTCATATACTGGGATAAAGAATTTGGACTTGATTTTGGAACCAGTGAAGTGACTGGCTTGTCATTTTAAAGCAACGTTTAGAGGAGACCAAAGATGGACTTGAGGGAAGCCAGTGAGCAGACAGGACCCCTGCTAGGCTGGGAAGGGAAGGGGCTTCCAAGACCCTCAACGCCAACACAGCCCAACCCAGGCTGGCAGAGGGTCATGTGGGAGAGACTTCCCAGCTCTCCTGGAAAGGACACAAACGTTTCAATCCTGTTTGGTCTGTCCCTTTCGTGTCCAGCGAACAGCACAGGAAACGCAATGTCCCGTCGTCAGGCACACACCTGGTTTTTAGGGTCCTTCAAGTTGAACATGATGCTTCGGTAT